TCTTGAGCATAACATGTCTGTCCCAAGGACCTTTATTTAATGGTCGAGGAAGTTCTGGGTCTTGGAGCATGCATGCTTTGGACACGACCAAATTAGTCATACCAGCCCTCTCCGACGACTGCTGTACTGGACAGCAGGTTGCGGGCATGGGCAAAAGCACTTGCTGGGGTGGGGGTGCTACTGTGGACGGTTGCGAAATGCATTGGCGAAAGCCTGGGAGGATTCAATTCCCTGTACCTGGAGTCTCCATCACCCCTTAGAAATGGTCACGGAGACTCCAATTTCTCCCTTTTGGAAGTCGCTCGTGTTGGTTTAAGGGAGGGTTTTCTTAGGATTTCTTGGTTTTTCAGGGTGAGCTGGTCTTGGAAAGAGAGGGTTTTTGTGATTTCGGGAACCCCAGCTTGAAGTAGAACCCCTGCTGGATTTTTGGAGATGGAGGTGTCCCCTTTTAGTGGGGTTCAGACCACTTTTGGAGGGGTGGCCCCCCTGTGAAAATCGGACGGGTTCTACTGTTACCCAGAAACCTGCCTCTCGAATTGATTACCAAGTCATTTTCGGCGTGGTGATTTTGGGAATGCGGGGACCTTCCAAAATGGTGGTGTTCTTTTTGGTTTCCCTTTGAACACCACCAAATGGGCGGTACCCTGAAAAAGACAGCCCAGTGGATAATTGTCTCCGTGGGAATGAAACCAAATGGCAACAATGTGGGCGAATCTGACCTGGCGACCCTCAGAAACCCCCCTCTCCCCCGGCCCCCCGACATGCCATCCGAAAGCCAAGGCAACGTGTGTGGCCGTACTTTCGCCATGGACCGCATTGCAAAGCATCAGGCCTGGACCACGTCAGTCAACGTGCCCAATCAGCGTTTTGTTAGGTCATACCAACTTGAGAATCTTCGGCGCCCGAGTCTCTAGGGGACCGGGACCCGGAAGTCATGCTGGATGTTTGACATGTGTGACTTTACAGGATTGCCCCGACTCCGACCCTCAACCTTTCACTTTGGAACTCCTCGCAGGCTTTGGCGCGTTAGATCTTTTGGGTTGGTCAACGGCAGACTTTGCAGAAAATGCTCCTTTGCCACTTGCTGTCTTTGTTGATGGTCAGTTTGGCACCAATGTATTTTGGGGACTCGGCACGCTTTTGCGCAGGCGGTTTGCCTCAAGGTGCGGAAGGCTTGCGGGGGGCGGAAGGCTTGCGGGGTCATGGTTCCCTAGTCATCAGAAACCCGTCCCTATAGTCCCCGTTTGGTGGGTTTAAACATCACCGTCCCCGTTTTGGTGGGTTTGAACATCGTTTGGTTCTTGGGGAGCCCAACCCTGACGCAGCATCGTGATCCGTTTCTCTTCGAACGGGATCACGGATTGGGATTGGCACCCCCATGTGGATCAACCCAGGCGGAATCCCTGTTTGGGTGTTCGTCCAACCTAGAAAACCCCCACACAGCTCAGCCAGGTAGGTTTCTAAAGCATTTAGCAACGGAAAATCCCCAGAGGGGCCCAGCCGGTGCCAAACCGAAAGCTCAGGAACCCGACGAAAACCACTTGGTCGCCTGCTCATTGGCGCAAAATGGGTCTTTGGATGGGACCCACTTCGGTGGAAACATCAACCTGGAGCAAAGTTCTGGGCAAAGAATTCCCCTGGCTTTCGCACGAAGAATTTGTGCAGTGACGTGCAGTTTTACTCGGCGATTCATGGCTATTCCGATGGAAGCCCTTGGCTGTCATCTGAACTGGCTGTTTTGGTACTTGAATCCAAATTAATTATCTGTTGAGGGTATCCGGTTTTTGTGGTTTCAAAAACAAAACCAACAAGACAAGCACCATTTGGGGGGGTGCCCTAACAAGAGACACACCCAAATCTAGTCATGACTATTCGATCTAGAACTGCGATTAGTGCATATATGATTTGAAGGCAGCAATCCAATCAGGGCCTTTCTTCAGGTCATGGCACAGACTGCCGTCTGTGGCATCAAGTTCATCGAAATTCAATACTGCCACGGGCTTTGGCTGCTGTTGCTTCACGAGCATGCCGCCTCGTTTCTGAACGGGTACAACTTTCTAGCTGCCAGCACGCTAAACACTGGATTTTGCGGGTTTGCGATGAAACCCCAAGTGCATTTCTGCAAGCACATTGACCTAGAGATCTTGGAGTCCTTCAGAGCAGGCCATCGCTACGTCTGCAACCCGATGATCTGGGGGTGTGAGCAAACGGAAGATGTGATAGGCCGATGCTGCAAGCTATGTAGTACACTGAGAAACGGGTGCTGGAGTGTTTCGGCAGAGTCGTGATGCCCTTAGTCTGCTGGGCCCCCACATTGGCATCAACGGACCCATAGGCTTGAACTAGTATTTCTTGCACTTTTTGTGTGACCCTGGAATTTCAAATGCGCAAGAAGCAGAATGCGACATAAACACTGGTGTGTTGTCCTGGCGCGAGGACGCTCGGAGAAACAGTGCTTCCCATGCCTCATTTTGGCCAGTCATTTAGGCTCCTGCAAGCAAGCAAGAATTCCTTGGCGACTTTTTTTGGTTAGAAGAGCATTTTGGGGGGGAGAAGCGATACAAATCACTTTCTGGCGAAACGGCGTTTGTTTCACACTCAGGAAGTCTCAGGTATGAGTACTTCTTGGGGCACTTTTGCTAGGTGCTTGGAATCATGGTGCGGGTGTGGTCCATGTGAGAGAAACGCACAGGGGACTCCATCAATTCCAAAAAGCAAGTCAGGGGAACTCACGAGCTCCATGTCCTTTGGAGAACATGCAGCCGCAATACGTAGAGGGAAGCTTGTGTGAGCACAACATGTTTCAACCAACTCAGCAAGTAGGTTTTAACCATGGACAGGGACAGTGGCAGAACTGGGGTTAGGCCCCTTATAACCTTTGCCATAACCAATTTACTATGCGGTTTTAACACCGAAGAAGGGAGAACGTCTGGATGTGTTGCTGTCAACTGCCCCGTCAACCGCGCCAGAAGCGACCCGTCTTCCGCGCAGAGAAGCAGAGAGTCTTCTTGGAGGCGGGCTAGGTAGGTCCCCCAGTGCCCTTCTCAACCCCTTTTTGGTTGGGAGGGTTCGGGACCCTACTAAAATAGACGTCCAGAAAAAAGTTGGTAGCTTTTAACCTCTCTACTGGAGGACCTACTGTACTTTTGTCTTAAATAATACTGTTGATGGAACATCCATTTCGCACCACAGAAACCCTGGAATGATGATTCCGCTGTAAATACCAACAAACAATGGCTTTTCATTGTTTCAAAGTGGCGCAGGATTTCCTTCATCCACAATATGGGTAGGCTTGGTAGACGAAACTCGTCTAAGCAAATATTTTTCAGAAAATGATTTGTGCGTCTAACCCCATCTACCTTGTAGTACAGGGATGAATACCCTCAAAAGAGGTGGGTGGACATAAATCTCTATGTAAACAATCAGTCGAGGAGCCGCAGACAAAAACACAAATAGATGAGCAGGGGTCTTCGGAGCCTTTCTGGCGAGGTTTTGTTGAGCGAAAGAGATGACCATTTCCCAAAAAACAACGAAACGAGCAACAGGGTTTGGACCCTCGAAAACTGGCTTTGGGGGAGGGAGCCCATCCCGAGTTTCAACTGCCCTTCGACTCGACTCGATTCGGTCGCAGAGCGAACTTGAGCGATTCGACGATTTCGGATCTAAAAATCCCGAGGTGGGCTACCCTCGCATCCCCCGTCCCTCTTTCGGATCTAAAAACTCCGAGGCTTGGGGTTGAACGCTGAAGTGATGGCGAGAAAAAGATAGGGAGACCCTTCCAATATAATCGGTCGGCATAAATCCCCCATATGAAAGCACGGCCCCTTTTTTGGAGGGTATTCCCTTTGGAGGCTGATTGAAAGGGAAACCAATGGAAAAGCGGCTCCCCCCGCATTTTTGGGTTTCCCTATTTTGAGACAAAGCCTGAAATGGACGTGCCTCATTAGTGATCGGGGCATTCCCGAATCCCGGAAACTGGATTCGCCTCACTGCTCCTCCATCCCATTTGCCTTGAACGCCGTCCAGAAAGAGGGGGTCCTTAGAATCCATGCATCAAGTCAGAGAGTCAGCAATGCCCACTTGCAGATTCCCTTTTTTTCCCACTCACAGGCAGAGGCAATCGTAAATTAGCCATGCTGCAGAAATGTATGGGTGTGTCTTTGTTTAGGGGACCCCCCAAACTGGGTGGTTTTCCTTTTGATCTGCCTCTAAAGCCACAAAACAGGGAAACAAACAACTACGAGCCACCCACTGCTGCACAGCAAGGATCCCGGATGCTTTCTCTCCATTTGGGTGTTCCCGAAGACTGGTAGCCGAAGTGGAAGCAAAAGGCAGCAGTTTTGATCTATTTTGGGACACCCATTTGAGCGTGTGTGTCAAGGAGGATCCCCAAAAGAATTCCCTTATAAAGACCTCATCGAATTTATGTTTGGCACATTTCATTTCGCCTACGTCCCGAGTCAGTTGTCGGCCATGTTGCAATAGAAAGCCTAAAGCTTCTGCCAAAGTGCATTGGACCCTTCGGGGAAAGGGGCGCTTTCAACCCATGACCAATTCATCAGCGGGCACCAAGATTCTTTTCAGGCTCCATTTAAAGCGCCAAGATTTGGTCGCAACAAATGCCAACCCGGGTCAGAGACAGCATGGGGGTAAGCAGCTCTGAACGGAATTGAAAGCACGTGGCTCTCTTCGGCGTAAGCCATTCGCCTGCAGCCCTTTGGGCTAAAGCTCAAGATCTTATCGAGGACACAGACATCAGCACCCTACCCCAAGTTCTACAATTCGTTCTATGAGCTTGTTGCTCTTATTTTGACTACCGTTTCAGGATGATTCCGAACTCCCTGCATTTTTGACGCTGTAACCTGGAGTGTTGTGAGAACTTAGGCTCCACTGGTTCGACTGCTAGGTCCCCCAGTAGTGCCCTTTTACCCTTCTTGGGGGAGGGTTCCCCTACTAAATCAGACTACAGAAACAAGTTGGTACATTTATTCTCACCTCTCTACTGGACCTAGACCGATTCCATGGCCCTCTTCGCCATGGAGCTTACGCACTGGTTCTTCATCTTGGCCTCTCTGCCGCTCGTGTCCAAAGTCTCAGCTCTGCTGCGGGCGCTCTATCACCTCTACCTGCGCCCAGCGACCAGCTTCGCCTCCTTTCGCGGCTTTGGTGCATTTTTTGCCAACGGATGTTGGGACTTTAACATTTTTCGCCAGCTAAAAGTTACAGTAAAAACTAAATTCATTGCCAGCTTGGTTGATTTTTGCCAGCTAATGGTTAAAGTTTAACTTTTTGCCAGCGAATGGGTTTTCCGTATCAAACCACTAAACACCACTTGTGAGCAAAGTTAAACCACATTTTTTGCCAGCGAATGGGTTTTCCATTCCCTAGGAGCCCCTTGGACCCTAAATATGAGGGCCTTGAACCCCCAAAGGCCTCGAATAGTGAGGTCTTGGGCTCCTAGGGATTAAACCACTAAAAGTTACATGAAACCACGGAGCAGAAGCAACCGAGGCGGGGACTATGCGCTGGTCACGGGCGCCAGCCGGGGCATCGGCCGCGGCTACTCCCTGGCCCTCGCGCGCCGGGGGGTGAACCTCATCCTGGCTGCCAGGCAGCGGCGCGAAAGAAACCCACCTAGGTGCCCTTTTACCGTCTCTTTTTTGGGGAGGGTTCCCCTACCAAAATGGACTACATAAATAAAGAGGTCCTTTTTGGTTGATTTGGTTGAAACGTAGAGGGCCCTGTTTTTTTCTTGTGGTGGTTCAATCAAACTACCAGGGCCATCTATTTTCCCAAAAAGGACACCTATGGCGGTCACGTGGGGGCAACAAAAATTTTTACATCGCGTGCGCGTATACACTTAAAGCGTTTGAACATCTGTCCCTACCGGCAATGTTTAAACTGTTTGAACGCGTGTGAGCAGACCCTCGCACATTTAAGCATTTTGGGTGTTTAAACATTTTGGGGAGTTCAACCAACACGTTAAGCAACCCCAGCAACGTTCGTCTCAACGCTGCCGCTTGTTTAGACTCTTGTAACGGTGAAACAGGCACCAAGAGACTATCCCCCTGCATTGTTCTCAGGTTTTTTCCCCACGGACCCATGGTGTTTAAGCATCTCTGGATGATACATTTTCTGAGACCAAGGGACTTGAGAGGGTTGGAGGCCATGTGGATGACATGTTTAAAGAAGCCCCCCCCCCATTGTTTAAAGTTGTTTCAACGAGATTGGATGTTTAGAGATTTCGTGATTACACCAGAAGACGGACGCCGTTTCCTGGAGGGGATTGCAGTGGATGGCCGTTGGGCGTTGCAACGAACCGAAACTGTTGCGACAATCCAGATGTTGAAATGATGGCAACATCCTTCATTGTTTAAGCATCTCCAGATGTTTTAAACATTTGGTGATGGCAAATGAAAGCGGGTGGCCGTCAGGGGGAGTTGAAACGGACCCTAGCTGTTGGCATAATCCTGCATCGTTGAAACAATTCCGGATGTTTGAACATCTGGATGTCTAAACATTTGGTGACTACACTGGTTGATTCTAGTTGATGGCAGTGGATGACCGTTAGGGGATGTTTACACACACTGTTTAAACAGGCCCTCAAGCCTCATTGTTCGAACATTTCTTGACTCTTAAGTTTTGTTTAAACAACTTATGCGATTGATCCTGTTTAGACAAAGCTGGAGCTACAAAGTTTTACGCAACATTTAAACCGTTTAACACGAGCTCATGCCCCTGCCAGTTCCCCGGAGCCACTGGAAAAGCTGGCGGAGGAATGCCGTGCCTTGGGTGTGGAGGCGCGTGTGCTCCAGGTGGACTTTGCCCCCGGGGGGGGGTTGCTGCTGACGAAGGTGCAGAAGCAGCTGGAGGAGCTGGTGGACTTGGCGAAGATCTCGATTCTGGTGAACAATCTGGGCGGCAAGCCGCCAGATCGCACCCTGCCCACCGCGCCCATCCCCATGCGCTGCGAGGATATCGACGCGGAGACCTACGAGAACTACCTGGCCTTCAACGCGCACGTGGGCCAGGCGTTGACGAGCATGCTGCTGCCCATCATGGTGCAAAGGAACAAGGGCTACTTACCTCTTAAAAACACAACTTTTCAACTTGTTGGGTAACATGGGCTATATGTCTGTAAAAGATTCACTTCCCCAGGGTTTGGAGTTTTAAGGGGTAAGGCTATGTGCTGAACGTGTCCTCCCTCAACGGCAACCAGGTCATCCCCTTTCTCTCCGCGTATTGCGCCACCAAAGCCTACATCTCCAGCTATTCCGCCTGCCTGAATGCCGAGCTCCGCGCTCGCAGGTGCAACGTTTGGGTGGAGGCCGTCTGCCCTGGTCCAGTGGCCACGGAATCCATCGGCAATCCCAAACCCTCAGCAACTCAGTCCAAAGCGAATCGACCTGACAAAAAAATGTTGGTTAGCCCGTGGTTCCCATATTTAAGCATGGCCCCAACAGGTGATACTGTGGATGGACGAAATCCTGCACCTCCTAAGGACCCCTGGAATGATGATTACCCTGTAAATACCAGCAAACAATGGTTTCAACCATGGTTTCAAAGTGGTGCGAACAGATTTTGCAACCATGCACAGTATGAGACCTATTTCTGGGTCCCATCCGACTGAGGCAAAGGTTCCAGATCCAGTGCGCTTCGCTGAGCAGTCGCTGCGACTGGCGCGGACGCCCTTCGCACAGGTGCCATGGCCGCGGCACTGGTGGTCCATGCAGTACTACGGCAACGGCTCCATGTTCGTCTCGGACGAGGTCGCGCAGCGGCGGCTGCGCAACACCTACTTCAAGATGTGGGGATAGCCAGCACGCGCACAGGCAGGGGGGATAGTGTGCTTGCCGAGCGCGGCGCAAGCGTTGCCACTCCGAGGAAAAGCTGGGGTGCGGGTGCTTGCGGCACGTGTGTACGTGTCTGTGTGTTTGCTACTAGGTCCCCCAGTAATGCCCTTTGACCAACTTTTTTGGAGGAGGGTTGCCCTACTAAAATAGGTTACAGGAGAAATTGGTACCCTTATTCTAACCTCTCTACTGGAGGACCTAGGTGTGTGTGTCTTTGGTGGAGGGCTGTGTCAGTGACATGGGCGCCAAACACTCAGAGCTTGGGCCGGCTTCATGACCAATCCAAGTCCACAGGGGGCTCGGGCTGGTCTTCTGGTCGTGTGGCCGGGCCAAGTTCGACCCTTAATTAACCCCTATGGAACCCGAGGGAAAAACAAGCTCCGAAGCGGGTTCTTCAACAGGTTTGAATCCTTTGGTCAGATTCTGGTTTCGTTTCTAGTGGTATCTGACGCACTCAAGTGTAGATCTTCAGTACCTCAAGCGTCAAGGATCCCAACTCCGCAAGGCATGTTGACGCATCTCAACCCCACCAGTTGCCAAGGGACAGACCGTTGGCGCCCCTTTGAGTCGCAAGGACTGCGACAAATCTTCTATCTGCCTTTGCTAAAATGTTGGTTGATACTGTGGATTGACGCAATCCTGCACCTCCTAAGGACCCCTTGAAAGATGATTACCCTGCAAATACCAGCAAACAATGGTTTCAACCATGGCCTTGGGAGATACTGTTGATAGACAAAATCCGTTTGCACCACTATGAAACCATAGGAAACCATTGTTTGCTGGTATGTACAGGGGAATCATCAGTCCAGGGTTTTTAGGTGGTGCAGGATTTCGTCCATCCACAGTACCTTCCCTCCACCATGGAAACTGACAGGAGGATTTGGAAGACTACCTTTTGGGGAAGACTCCAATCGGCCACTTCCATGATTGTTGGCATGAGGGTATTTGGGTATTTGTCAAGATTAAGATCGGATTTGGACCACTGTTTTAGTCCTTGGCAGCCCATTTACCCTTTGTCCATGTCGAACCCTATTTATGCCCACACCTATTTTGATCCGCATGGTTCCCTGGACATGGTGGAACCCCCATTTCGCGGCCACCCAATTTTGCGGGGACCCACACCCATGTTTTTCGGACTCACACCCAATTCAAGGGGAAACCAAACAAGACCTGTGTCCATTTATAATAAGCACCTTCCATTTGCTTAAGAACATTTGTTATTCCCCCCTGTTGGTTTTGAAGGGAATACATTTCACTACTTGACATATTCATAAAACATGTTCCCACGGGACTGAACACACATATCTAAAGGGACGTTTCCAGGAATCCTTTTTTAAAGAAACTTTCAAAAATCTAGGGGGAACAACCGGCTGGCTAGTGTCATGTACATACAGGGGACTTAGTAGCGCGCTCCAAAGCGACGCAGGGGCAACCACCGGTTTGTGAAAAGAAGGATGGTTGAAAATAATGGAAAAGGAATCAACCCCAGAAGAGGCGGAGGTGGTTGGGGGCCTCAAAACCAGGTTGTTTGAAGGCCCATCAATCGGGGACCCGTTGAGTAAGAATAGTTGTCATTTTCACAGTACCAGAACCCATTTTTTAGGTTCCTATTTATGACCTTCCATTTGGCTAATAATATTTGTTATTTTCCCCGGTGGCTTTGAAGGGAAACCATTTTTTATTACTGGACATATACGTTTATTCTTTCCAGAGGGGACTCTACTGCAAATGGAGGTACTTGTCCACAGCGAAGCGACCTGAACTGACCTTTTGGACCCCCCCCCCCTTTATTTCCCAGGGGACCGAAAACATAAATTCGGAGGCGACCCGCCCGCTCTTCCACAGCACAGGACTTATGCTGACCTTATGGCAGAAAACGCCCATAGACCCCAGAGACCTCCCCCTCCCCCGGACATGACGAGTGTGTGTCAAGCCTTATTTACCTGGAGTCTCCATGACCCGCTCATTACCCAAAATTAAGGGGTCATGGACCCATTTTTAAAGGGTCATGGAGACTCTGGGTAGGTACTTGGGTGTTGATCCAGGCGACAACACATTTGTAAGTCCCAAGTGGAGTTAACAACTTGTTACAGGGTGCCAAACTCCAAATGGCGATCACTACTTAGTGACTTGGCAAGAAACCCCCTACTCAAAATACCCGCTTTTTGCAGGGTATGTGTGGGATAACCTGGTTTTCCATGGTCAACACCTCCTTTTTTAGTAGAGGGTCGACATGATGCCTTGAAAAACGACATCAAGTACCTATGAGCCACACGCCATTCTGGGGAAACCAACGCAACTTGGACAGGGGGGCTCGGAGGGCAACATTGTGGGCAGCGCATTGACAAAGCGCCCTGGCAGACCAGTCAAGGAGAGCACCGGGGTGCTTGTTGGAAAGACATTTGGGTGTGGTGGGTGTTTGTCAGGGGTATCCTGTTTGTTTGTTTGGATTCAAGGGAAGCCAGAAAAAAAACGTCACAAAAGACGTTTTGGGGTCTTTGGGGGTTGTGGCCCTATTTCAGGTCTTGGGATCCTGGGGTACCCTGTGATCTGCCAGAAGTTAGCATGACTATTCTGGGCATTTCTTTGACTCCATGAGACGTCATGCCCCTCACTTGGTGACTTCGGGTGGTGTTTTTTGCAACGCACTTCACTTAGCATATTTGTTGGGCTGCTCTTTTAGGCACCTTGGAGGGACTGGCCTCAACATCCGCTTCTCTCTGACTCGTCTGAGCCACGCAGCTTTGGGATCCTCAAGCTTCCAAAGAGCTGGTTAAACAGGGTTATTGCTGCGACAAAGCCCTTGCCTGGAGTCATGACCCCTTTGATTTTGGGTGACCCCATTTTAAAAGGGTCAGACTCCAGGTACCCTTTTACCTGTCATTTTGTGGGTGGGTGAAACCGCAGGCGGACTTCCTGGGGAGATGCTAAACACCCCCCTTTTTTCGCGGACACCACGACAACACCGGCAACCTTCTTCTGGGTGCACGGTATGGAAAAACAAAAGGACATGTGTGAGTAGCACATGGTGGTTTAAATATGTTTATGTAAAAGGGTGGGTGTTTTCTAACAATTTGGAAGAATCCGGCACCCTGGAAGGGTGGTTCATTTGAGTTGCCCTTGTGTGAGCCATTTTGGGTACTAATTGACAATCATTGGAGAGTGCTGGATGGTGGTGTTATCGTTTTGGAAATGAATGGGTCACCCGGACCCTCAAGATAAGGACCTGCGAGCCAAAAAAGCTTTAGCTTTTTGGTGGGCTATCCTGGCATGAACATGGAACCGTTTGACTTTCGGGGGATCCTGGTTTGGACCATTTGCCTAGAAGGACCTCAAACGTCAGGTTCCATGTTAATTGGTGGGTGGGTTGGCACAGAGAATTTCACACATTGGACTCATTTTGGTTCTTAAGTTGGCGGTTCCCAGCCGTTTGGTTCCTTTTTTATGTGGTGTAGTGGGGGTTTCCAGCTAACGCCAAAAGTTAAACTTTTTTAGCATGGGATCTGAGGACAGCCTACTTAACAATCCCATACTGTTTCTTTCAGACCTTCTATTACTGGGCTCACACCAAAAAGGTATCGCTTCACACTGGCTTTTCCATCTACAACGTACGCGGTAGAGAGACCAAACAGGGGGTGTGCGCCAAACTAGGAATCGTGGATTTTGCATTTTCGGTTGGTTTCCCATTTTTTAGAGGTCAACGGGGTATCGAGCCTAACCTTGCTGGTGCGATAGGGAATGTGGGGAATGAACCTTCGGTCCCCGCAAAAAGGAAACCACCAGGATGGTTTTCTTAGGGGTCATTCCTTCCCTGCATCTCTCGCAATCGCAAGTAAAAGGATCGCCCTCATGAAAACGAACCACCCTGCGGCTTTTGTGCTCAATCAAGTTGTGGAATTGTGGTTTTCCGCTAGGTTTCCCTTGAACAGGTGAACAGGTGAACCGAGCCTAACACCGCCGCCGCACCTTGGGTGACTGAGGCCTCGTGGCCGCCAGGCACGCCCCGCAGTGAGCGGTTCGAACGCGTTTTGGGATGCGGAGAACGGTTGCCGGCCATGGGGGGCCTGGGGATGTTTGGCATCTCCAAACCAAAAAGCGAGTTTATGTAGGGTTTGTGTGTGTGTAAGTGTGTGTGTGTGTGAGTGTGTGTGTGTGTGTCTGTGGTTGTGTCTGTGTGTTTGTGTGTCTGTGTGTCTGTGTCTCTGTGTCTCTGTGTCTCTGTATCTCTGTGTCTCTGTGTCTCTGTGTCTCTGTGTCTCTGTGTCTCTGTGTCTCTGTGTCTGTGTGTCTGTGTGTCTGTGTGTCTGTTTTATTTGTTTTATTTGTTTTAAGGTTAGAGTTAGACCGTCGACCCCTAAAATGGGGAGTTTGCATTCCTTTAAAACCACCAAACACGGGATTTATTCTTGAGAATAGACAGACCTATATATATAGGGTACTCAGAATGTGAAACAGAATCCGACAATCAACGAGTTTTGGTTTTCCCAAAATTAGGGAACCTTGAGGTGGTTGGTTTTCTGTTGCTTTCTTCTTGAAAAGCATCCCAATCCCAAAGAAGACCCCCGGCCCATTTTGAGATTTTACGCATATTGTAGCGAAGTCACAAGGGTATGCAACCTCACCCTCTTGCTTAGGTCTCGTTCAACTTGTTATCCAAGACGCATGATAAATCTGCCGTCACTCAGATTCATCGCAGCGTTGCACTTCTACATCAGCCCTTTCACGGACATTATGGATTCCGTTCTGAGCAAGGTAGTTGTGGCGGATGTGATACGAGAGCTTGAAACTAAAGCATGGGGGCAATGAAACACTCTCAAATCATGGAAGGAGTGCCGGGTATTGACGTTAAATGTTGGCAACACATGCATAGGGGTTGATCAATATTCCTGCCCCCAAATCCATGGGTATGTTTCCCTGCTGGCAGGGAAAGTGTCCTTTTCGGGTGATGTTGGGAATGTTGGGGAGCCCTGACAACTGAAATAGGATGATGTGAACCTGATGAGACCACCCTCAGAACGTAGGAAAGCTCCC